CAGCAAGCAGGTCAGGGATCAATGCCTTTGCATAGGAAGGGGCAATCCAGCAAAATCCACGGGGGAGATTAAATGAACTCTCATTTTTCAGCTGCCTTTGAAACAAAAGAGTTGATGGTAGGAAATGGAATGGAATTTTAAGGGGTTTGGCCTGTTTTTTTAAGGCATTGTTAAAGATTATATAGCAAAAGTGAAATTTCTTGTTTTAATATTTTCATTCAAAACTTCCCAACCTTAGAGAGTCAGAATTGCTCCAATAGGAGGATATGTAACCAGTCTGTTGCTGGGGAGCCAGTGCGCATATCCCCGAGGCTTGTGTGTGTTTACTGGTGTATTGAGAGTTCACACCTTTACTTTGCCTCACTCCTACTACCCTTCCTGGATTTCAGTTTTTAAAGTTATCTCCCCGGATGCAATCTCCCTTATTTTAACAATGCATTCTAATATGCTTTTAGCAGCACATGCTGAGAATTTCAAGTCCAGTTGTGTTTTTAGTCCCCTAATATTTTTCTGTGGACCAGAAAAAAGTAAGTTAACAGTTGTTAACTCGGTATATTTTTATTGTGAAAAAGAGCTACTGAAACTTAGGTAAAGGAAGGAGAAGTGGAAACAAAGCTTACTGCACAGGCATTAGAGCTTTGGGGACAGAGGGACAGGGTGGGGTGAATACCCTTCAAGACAAAAGAAACCTCTCCCCCTCTGTTTCCTCCTTGTGGAAGGAAGACCAACCAGAGTAGACCTTGCTTTCTTAGGTCTTCTGGAGACTGACTGTTTGCAATATCAACCTCCAAGATGATACCAGGGAAGTATAATGCTGTGGAATGTGACTTTATGCTCTTAGAGATTTAGAAAGAAAAACAGAAATTAGGTACGTTGTTGAGGCTTATAATCCTCAAACTTTGTATTTTATATAAATTTAGCCAATAAGGAATGAGTATCTGGGGAAATAAATTTAGGCTCAATATTTATCTTTTAATGTTTTATTACCTGCTTCTCCTGTGCTTTAGTTTGAATATTTGGGCTTTTGGACCTGATTTCCTTGTAACCTCAATTTATAAAGCTGCGAGGAGGAGCATATTTGTTCTAATTTCACTCTTCTGCCAAAAGGAATCCGGCAAAAGTAAATTATGCTAGATTTTTCAGATGGGCTCTTTTTTACTCTGTAGGTGTTTTGTGTTGTAAAGACCTGATTGAGGTCAGGTAAATTGGTCTGCTTGCTGTTGAAATTCGCCTTCTAGCAAACATCTGTGCTTTCTCTTTGACCTTGTGTTTGCTGCCAAATCTAATATGGTTGAATTGGAAAACAGGAAAAAAAACAAAACAAAACAAAAAGTATATTTCCTCACCAAGCAAATACATTCTAATGCTGCCTCAAAGCTGCCCTGAAGCTTCACTGAACTTCTCTTGTTCTCTTTATCTGTGTTGAGCTTTAAAAAAAAAAAAAAAAAAAAACCGAAACTCCAAACACTATCAAGTCCTATACAATCTCCTGTAAGAAATGTAGCATAGTGTGGAATCTTAATTTCTCTCCGGTTTCAAGCACTACAGAGGAATGCAATAGATAAGACATATTTGCTGTTTAACTAAAGCAACTGTAATATTGGAAGACCAGTCCTTCTGTATGATATTTGTATAATAGTTGCTGTAACACTACTTGCATGTCTTCATGGTAAATGATATAAATATTTATAAATATATAGAGAAACATATGCTTATATAAACTCATTCCTTCTCATTCTCCATTTGTAATTTCAAGATCACAGATGGTGAAATTCCTTTTTATTGTGTGCCTCGCGTACACTTGGGCCTTGCCTGTCTTCATTTTCTGAAAATATGTTCTTGGCATGGGACACTTCAGATTCTTCTTGCCTTCTTTGTGTATAATGCAAGGGTTGGCAGCCTTCAAGCCAAGATAGGTTATTTAATTTTCACTTTTAAAAGATGTTAATAGGAGAAAAAATTACCGGGTCAGGCTTGTGATACTGGCTCAAAAATTTGTCACATTAATCACATAATTCTGTCCTCATGGTTAAAGGGGATAAGCTGGGATGATAATCATGGGTCTGATATAAATTGATTTAAAGAAAAAAAATCTCTTAAAAATTGCCATTTTACATTCCTCTTTTCACCTCACTATTTTTTGGATGGTGAGGGAGTAATCTACAATTAAGGAATTAACTTCTTTTTTCCCTTGTATTAGCTAAATTGTGCTAAAAGTAGCCAGCTTTAAATCCTGACCCCTGTCGTCAGAAATGCGCCCTTCATAACCACTGGAAAAGCGGATGAGGTTATAGTTGTGGTGTGTGTGTTATTTCTTATTGGTATTTCTTTTCTAGCAGTCAAAACAGACAGTGATGGCAACATGGCAATTGAGTGTTTTCTCTCTCTTCGTTTCTTCTGTTTTTCTCCCAACTCTTCCACTGTGTTGCCCCCTTTTCTAGATGGCACCGACGAACTCCATATCCAGAGAGAAGGAGAGAAATAGCCTCGGTGTATAAGAATACTTTATTTTGCATGTAGAGGAAAGAATTAACCAAAGATGTTTCAGCTCTGATACTTTCAAAAGAAAACAGACTAGTTATATCATATGTATCAATAGGTCCACTTAAAAGTACTATCATATAGAGATTTACTTATGGTTTTTAAAAGCATAGTTTGTGCTTTTAGATGTTCAGTGTCTTAGGCTAGAAAGAGAAGTTGGCAGCCCTGAGCAAAACATTTTTGGCACAAGGATTTTTTATTATGTTTTATTTTAAGGTATGATACAGAGAATGAGTTGTTTGTTTGTTGTTTTAGTTCCTTTTTTTTTTTAATTTATTTTGGGTTTTTTTAGTGATGGCATATTTCAGATTTCAGTGACAAACATAGATCATCCAAGTAATTTTAAACCACTTTGGTTATTTTACCTAAGATGAGGGACACGGCCATTAATTAAAGTCAAGCCAAACTATACTAAAAGTAGTATGGGGCAAAAGTCAAAACTATCTTTTGAAAATCAAGTGCCTCCTGGTTTCTCCTCTCAAGGCACGATGGCAACCCTAGTCATACTTGCCTTTACCCTGCCATGTCTAGTCTCTGGAGTTACTTGGGTGGAGCAGAAAATGCATTCGCACCAGCTCAGTCCCTGTAGACAGCATTCTTCTTACATTATGCTGCCAAATCTCCAGGGTATACAGATGGGTTGGAATATTAGTATTTCACCCGGTCATCTTTTGCACAGCATCAAGGCATTTAACTTTAATGTAGAGTGAACAAAGGAAAATTGGATCATATCAAATGTAACCTTAAAGGACAGACTGTAAACATCTTTGAATGGTAAGTCTCAGGCGGGCGCTGTCATTCCCACCTCGGTGTGCAAGCTGGTCTTGCATTTCTTAAGTTGCATGGTGCGAAGTGAATGTTTTTTTGTAAAAGTTACCAAGTCAGTCCAGTCCTAGATAAGTAGCAACATGATAATTGATACCCACTGTTGTCATTATCCACTTTGTATTATTTGCTTTAAAATACTAAACAAATCCCAGCTGCTTACTGATTCAGCGAACTACTCGTGCAGTATCTCTATTCAGCTCCTAGCCACTAGGGGAACTTGAGGCTCTTTGATAATCATCATAGATTCCTTACAGGCCACAGATTTTTATGCAGATGTTTCTATGGTTGCATTCAGGCTACAAGGAAAAAGTGTACATTGGTGCATGTTTTATAAACCAACACACCGATAGTTAAAACTATAATTAGTTTTCCTGTACCCGATAGCTTTGAATTAAAAACAGATGCTTCTTCCCTAGAGGATTCTTTGTTCTAGGAACTACATTCTTAATCTAACATTAGAAATTGGCAATAGGAGAAACAGGATCCGGAATTCAGAGTTAGGCTTAGGGGAAAAAATGCATCTTAGTCTGGCTATTTGGAAATATATTAATTTGTAGATAAGTCTAGATTTAGTCTTGGAGATCAACGTTTTCACATTTTAAAACTTTGTTCATTTCTTTGTATCTATCAAAACATGGCGTATGTTAGAGAGTCACTTCTTCTGTCATGTTCATGTATTTTGGAATTAAGTTGTTTGCATTCACTTTTTTATATTCTGCCCACTTCTGTTTATGTGCATTTACCCCAGATGTGCTGGGACTTTGCCTAAAGGGAGACATATTTTGGCACCTGTATCACTGAGGAGAGCTAGAATGGTTGATGACAGCGGACTTACTCAACTTGCTTGAGTTTGGGTCTGTACAGTTTATTTGCGGAAGAGTTACTTATCTAGGTTTTCACACAAAAAGTATTACAGGATTAAGGTATGTAACCACTGTGGTAGTCCCCACAGGTCAATAGTCACCCGAGTCCCGAATCCAGAGGTGTCGATGTAGAACTTAACTTAGAGAAGGGAACGCGCAGCAGCTGCAGCTCCTCAGACCACACGGGAGGACGTGGTGCATGGAAACCCCCAGGTGGTGGTTCGGACACCCCACTCCCCTGCTGTCATCTAGGAGAGCTCTGGGGTACACTGGGAGGATGGGGGAGGAGTGTGGAAACATCTGTCATTGGATTTTCTCAATAGCTGGGCTGCCCCTTTGGAATTAGGAGAATGTTAACCCAGATAGTCTTGGGAGCCTGCAGAATCTGTTGTTGACAGTGCAAGGGAGATGTGCAGGAGGTGTCTGGGGCAAGTCCTGTAGTTCTTAGGCAACTCCAGGACATGGAACTAGGGTCCCTATGAATTTAAAGGGGAATCTGGATGCTGCACACCTCAGTCCCTGAGAAATCCTTGGCTGGACATGAAATGATGACAGAGTCTTGGCCCATCAGTACATTGTCTAATTGAGTTGTGATAATCTGCTCTGACTTTCAAAATGTAAGCTGGATGTTTAATTATTCCCCTTGAGCAAATCTGGATCAGAAAATGAAAGTATGGGACAAGATCAAGATCACTTTGTGGTTATACCACGATCTCAAAAAACTGAATAGCCAGCAAGTAATGATTTAGTCATGTAATGATTTGAATATTTCCTTACACTTTGCTGGATCTTTGGTCTGAGGAGACATGTAAAGGAGGTGAAGCCTTTTCCTTCATGATCCTGTGGAACTTGAACAGAGCCTGCCTGTTAAATTGGAAGTGACAGTGTGGGCATAGTACGTGTCACCAGTGATGCTGCCGTGTGTCTTCGGTACCCCTGGGCCAGTGGTTCTGGGTTCCTCGACCTAGAGAATAGGATTCCATGAGGCAGATCTTTGAGCCCGTGATAATTTTACACACTAATGATAGGAATTTTACCTCTCTCTTCAGTTAGTTTAATACTGTTTCATATTGTGTACAGAAGTGTTCACTCACCCAGCTAAAAACATTGAGTAAACCCTAGTTTTTAATATACACTATCCTTGCCATATGACTCTTTCTCCTCACCTTAGAGTACACAGTGTAAAATCCTTAACAAATGCATTCACAGCATTTCCCCGTATTTGGAATCTGGGCTTTGTTCGTCATTCACCCACGATACAAAAAGTGACCAGGGCTTAAATGTGATTTATCTTAGGGAGCAACCCAGGGAGGGGAAAGCCCTTAGGACTTTTCAAAACTATTTTCTTTTTAAATGATTCACAAGATAGATAAATTAGTTCACTAAGGTAAAAAGCATCCAGAAATACAGTTAAGAAGATGAAGGAAACACAACACTCTGCCACTTGGGGCTCCGAAATTGGACTGAGTGAATTGAACAAAGAAGAGAACTGATCAGATGACCCATGCTTGAGCCCACACACTCCCTCCTGCACAGTTCCCGTCCCCCTCCTGACTCCCATTCCTAAAATTGCCAGCGCTGATTTCACTGGGTCATTTACTTACCGGTTTGCAGCTTTTAGGAAAAAAGAGGGGGAGACATCTAGTTTTGACTTAGATACAATTCTTGAAAGTTATGAACTACTGGCAGCTGTTATAATAGATTGAACCACAAACCAGAAGTCTCTTGTTGAGCAAAACCAGTAAGTTAGGATAGAAGACTAGTAATCCCACAGTTTTTCTCCCTTTCTCCTCCTCTTCATGAAACCAGAGTGATACGAAGTTGCTCTTTGAAATACCTCCAAAGGTATTGTATTGTCGTTTTCCCTCCAAGCAGCCCTCTTTATGCATTTTTGCTCAGGCAACCAAGGACATAAGAGTATTGGCAGAAACATGGAGTGCTTTTGTATAGGCCATCTGTACATAAAAGTGTAATTATTTATTTAATTTTCCCATTTGTATCATATTAAAGCTTTGTACAGTGTTTTAAGTTCTGTTTTAAAATTATTTTGTATTTTATTTTTATAATCTAGTAATAAAATATTCATTCCGCATGCACACTCTAGTTCTGTTTGTGTGATGGTTTGCTTTCAAAAAGGGAAAATAATATTTTTCTAATTTAATAAAGTTACTGAATGCACCAGAGGTTACAAAATCAACAGGGAACAGAAGATGTTGCTATAAAATGCAGTTCCACATCCAGAAGTGACCTAGAAAAAGCAGCACTGGACTAAATAGAAGCTAGGTGTTCGGAACCCCTGCAGATAAAAGCCAGAGTTCTGGGATACCAGGAGATGGTTCCCCACGTAATAAAACTGAAGGTGAAGTAATAAAACTGCAAGTGCTAAGGGGTGCCTAGATGGCTCAGTTGCTTAAGCAGATTAAGGGTCAGACTCTTCCTTTCCCCTCAGGTCATGATCTCAGGGTCCTGGGATCGAGCCCCGTGTCCCGCTCCCCGCTGAGTGTGGAGTCTGCTTGAGATTCTCTCTCTCTCAAATAAAATCTTTAAAAAAAAACTAAACTGGGGATGCCTGGGTGGCTCAGTCGGTTAAGCGTCTGCCTTTGGCTCAGGTCATGATCCCAGGGTCCTGGAATCGAGTCCCACATCGGGCTCCTTGCTCAGCTCCCTCTGCCTGCTCTGCCTGCCGCTCCCCCCTGCGTGTGACCCCCCCACACACCCTCTGACAAATAAATAAAATCTTTAAAAAAAAAAAACTGGCAAGTGCTAAGAGCTCCCTTTAAGTCCTTCATTCTCTGGCTGAAGGTACTTTCTCCTCGGCAGGAAGCGCTAGAGTCATTCCTGTTCCCCACCACCCTCTCCTGTCCACCTGTGACCTTCTCTGAACCAGAGCAAGTCTCGGGAGGCACTCACATGGGCACTGCTCCCCCCCACCTCGTGCGGTTTGACCTGGAATGTTAGGGCCATCTGTCTTCCCCGCCTGGTTTCCCCTCCTTGATCTCTCAGTGAGAAGCAACATCCAAAGAGCTGCCTATCATGTGCTTCCAAATAAGAGAAATTAAGAAGTAACTCGAGAATGTGCCTCTTAACATTTCAACTGCAAAGCAGTTGAAATAATAACCTGGTGCAAGGTAAAGATACAGACAGGTGATTCTGTGGGCACCTGAGGCACTTTAAGGGTTGCGGCCCGAAGATTCTAAAACTCGTCCTTGCAAGAATTCTTAGGTCTTAAATGGTCGATCATTTGATGGTGGCTGCTGGAAAACCAGTGGATGCCCACGAGCCAGGGCACAGAAGACTCAGCCTTTGAGAAAGACAAGGTCAGAGGTTAGGCTAGTTTTATCCTAACTTCTTTAGGGTGGTGACGGTTGAATAGAGAAAACTTAAACTCTTGGGCGCCCGGGTGGCTCAGTCGTTAAGCGTCTGCCTTCGGCTCAGCTCATGAGCTCGGGGTCCTGGGATCCAGCCCAGAGCCGGGCTCCCTGCTCCGCGGGGAGTCTGCTTCTCCCTCTCACTCTCCCTCTGTGCTCTAATAAGTAAAAAATCTTAAAGAAAAAAGCTTAAACTTTTGATTGAAAGAAAAGGGTGTGCTTATTGCAGAAAAGGCAGGTGTCTTTCCCAACAACTGTTCACCTTTACCGTCCAGCAGCTCTCCCGGGCCCTCGGTTTCCCCAGTCACGTCCTCCAGTCCCCGCAGGTCGCCCCGCGCACCCGGGCAGCCGGAGCTGGGCCTCGCCGACCGCGGTGCGGCCGTACCTGGCGGGCCACGGGCCTGTGGTGCGGAGCCGCGGAGCAAGCCGGGGCCTTGACCCAAGGGCTGCGCGGAACCTTAGCCCCGGGAAGCCCGGGCTCCGCCCCCCGCCCCGCCCCCTCGCGCCGCGGCCCAACGGTCGCTCCGCGAGCCGGCCCCGCCCCTCCGAGGCCGCCCGTGGCGCGCCGGCGCCTGCGCAATCGCCCTCAAGCGCCCCGACCGGGATGGCGGCCGTTTTGGAGTCGCTGCTGCGAGAGGAGGTGTCGGTCGCCGAGGCCGTGCGGTGGATCGCGCGCAGCGCCCAGAGCTCGGAGGTAACAGCGACCGCACACCCCCGGGCCTGACCCGAGTCTGCTTTCCGCGGGAGCCTCCACCCCTCCGGTCCCTTTTCTCTCGGGTGCCTGGCTGTCAGCCCGGGCCGAGTGCGCTCCAACTAGGGGCCGCTGCCCGGGCCGCCCGCCTCAGCGCGCACTGCGGCCCCGGCTGCTCGTGGCGCCGGGCTGGCCGCTGACCCTCTCGTCCCCCGCCGCTTCTCCCTCAGGATGACCCCGGGGAGGCGGCCGCGCTGAGCTCCCTCCGGCCACTGCGGAAGGAATTCGTGCCGTTCCTGCTGAACTTCCTGAGGGAGCAGAGCAGCCGCGTCCTCCCGCAGGGCCCCCCAACCCCCGCCAAGGCCCCGGGCTCCTCGGCAGCTCTGCCAGGGAGGCCGGGGGGCCCGCCGCGGGGCGGCCGCGGGGCGCGCAGCCAGCTCTTCCCCCCGACTGAGCCTTCGAGCGCCGCCGCCGCCGACGCCCCTTCGGCCCGCCGCGGGGGCAGGAGGCGGGGCCCGGGCCCGGGTCGCGAGCGGGGAGGCCGCGGCCCCGGGGGCCTGGAGGAGGGGGTCGGCGGAGAGGGTCAGCCTTGGGCCGGGGGCCGGAGGCCCAAAGGCTCTGGCAGCCCCGGCAGCCCCAGCCGCGCGCGCTCTGATCCGCCAAACCTCAGCAACCTGGAGGAGTTCCCTCCCGTCGGCTCGGTTCCCCCGGGCCCTGCAGGGTGAGAATCCGCCCTCCCCCACGAGCGGGGTGGGCACGAAGGCTGTGCGAGGGGAGTCAGGAAATTAGGGCCGGGCGCTCCGCAGCCGAGCGTGGGAATGGCCCGAAGGTTGGGGGTGAGATAACCACAGTAGTGAGAAGGGCGTTTCGCAAGGGGCCCCCGCCCTTGAGGTGGTGAGGGGGACATGTTTGAAGATGGGAATTTGAGAAAAACCTGTGGCTACTTAGCAGGACGAAGCCTTCACGCCGGATCAACCCAACTCCGGTGAGCGAAGAGCGGTCACTCTCCAAGCCCAAGACCTGCTTCACCTCACCCCCAATCAACTGTGTCCCCAGTTCCCAACCCTCAGTCCCGGACACTAGCCCTTGGGGCCATGGCCTTCCCCCAGGGTGCAGAAGTCTGCAAGAGGAGCGGGAGATGCTCAGGAAGGAGCGGTATGACCTTGCCACTCCCTGGGTTGTCAGCTTCCTCCCACTGGGGGATCTGAAGGGCTTTTCCCTGAGATTGGTTTGCCCGCTCAGGGAGCCCTGGGCCTGTTTCCTGGGCTGTGGACGTCTGCTCTGGAGGAACCAGAGTGTGGCTGTTGGGGGGAAGCTAGGGGAACTGCTCTTGACATCTCTCTGTCCCCATAGCTCTAAGCAGCTGCAGCAGTCACCTACTGCCACCTGTCCCACCTCAGAATCGGGGTCTCCCCTCCCCAGCCGGACAGGAAGCCTCACAGCTGAACCCGCTGACCCTGCCAGAGTGTCTTCCCGCCAGCGCCTGGAGCTGATAGCCCTCGTCTACTCTTCATGCATTGCCGGTGGGTGAGAGCAAAGGGTGCTGGAGTGGAGATGCTTGCGGAACTGCGGGCTAGGATTCCAAATGGTGCCTGACACCCTGAGGTTTCTTTTTCTATCCAGAGAACCTGGTACCAAACCTCTTCTTGGAGCTTTTCTTCGTCCTTCAGCTCCTTACTGCTCGGAGGATGGTGGCCACCAAGGACAGTGACCTTGAACTAACTCCAGGAGCACCAGGTCAGCGGGCAAGCCTCTTTTTGGGAAATGAGGGCTGGAGATGAAACAGTTCTTAACTGACAGCTTGGTACTATCCTTCTAGATTCCCTGGAAAGCCCACTGTTCCAGAGTGTCCATGACTGTGTCTTCTTTGCAGTGCAGGTTCTGGAGCATCAGTTTCAGTGAGTTTCCCCAGCGAGGCATTTAAGCCTCATTGCCATTGTCCATTTGCTTCTCTGGCCACTTGGGGTAAGTGCTGTGCTTCACACGGGTGCAGTGACCCTGGGCCTTTTCCTACACGTAGCCTGTCATTTTGTGTCAAGGCTATGAATGTAACCCCTGAAAGAATCAAATTGCCCCCTGTGGCCTTGGCATCTGCCTTCGGGTTTGTGTCTGTTTCCCTGCTCCAGAGGTCTCTTTCCTGCCCCCTTGCCTCCAGCATCTTAAACGCTCGGCCCATGACTTTGCCTTACATCCTGCTCCACGTTCCAGATGACGTTCTCTGGGGTGTGCAGGTGCCGGCTCCTATGTGCAGCGCATCCCATTCTCAGTCATACGCGCTCTTGTCCCTGTAGGGTTCTTTCCTACCTGGACAAAGGGACCTTGAAGCTGTTGGCCGAGAACGAGCGGCTGCTGTGCTTCTCACCGGCTCTGCAAGGCCGCCTCCGAGCGGCCTATGAGGGCAGTGTTGCCAAGGTAGGGAGCCCAGCTAGCCCGGACCTGACCGTTCCCAGCCTCGTGCTTCAGGCAGCCCGGCGCACGCCACTCTGGTGTCATGTGGGCTGACCCCGGGCCGGAATGCGGGGGTGACGTTTTCTGAGCATGACCTGGGAGGGTTTCAGTCCCTAACGTCACTGCCATATTTTAGGTCTCTCTGGCGATGCCACCCTCTGCTCAAGCTGTCTCCTTTCAGCCAGAAACAGACAATCGTGCCAACTTCTCCAGTGACCGAGCCTTTCATACTTTTAAAAAACAGAGGTGATAAGAAAAGGGAACTTTTGGGAGGGAACGAGGTGGCATTTTCTCTGGGATAGGCAGCCTGTGTTGTTTTCATACAAGCTAGGAGTTTGGCACTAACAGGTGGTAGTTTAGCACCACCGGGCCCTTCCTTCCAACCATCAGAATGGGCACGTACCTTCATCCTGTTTCCTGCCGTGGACTGGAACCTCCGCCCTTAGGCAGCCTTCTCACAGGTGTATGACTTTAGTCACAGGGTTCTTCAACAAGACAGAACCAGATTTTGCTGTGCCCCGGGGTCTGTGAGGCGTGTGGCGTTCTGCTGCTGAGTCTGCAGCGTTGTCATCACCTAGAGAACTCTGGGGGGGGATCAGGAATGGGGCTGCGGATAGTCCTGTCCTCCGTCCCTCTGAGCTAGAGAAGGCACTGCTGGGAGTCGGTGAGGTCAGCTGCGCCCCCGTTGATCAGGCGTTCTTACGTCTGTCAGGGACGTGTTTTTTGAGGTGCTTCGAGAGTGGGAAGATCGGCATGAGGAGCCTGGCTGGGATTTTGAGAAGGGCTTGGGCAGCAGGATCAGGTAGGTGCTCCCACACTGGTCACCTTGTCTCTCTTGCTTCTGGCAGTGAGCAGCTTAGGGGTGCTCGGGTAGCTGATTGGAGGAGGCCTCTTCCCCCACTCCTAGCCCACGGACGTTACCTTCTGTGCACCTTAATCTCTAGTTACTGGCAGTTTTGCCCCCACTCAGAAGGGATTTGTTGGGCCAGCTCCTTGCACTCAGACGTGACCCAGACTTGTTCCGTGATGGCGAATGCTTAGATAAGTGCAAAGCCCTTTCTCCAGATTGCTTGAGTGCCAGATTACTTAGTCCAAGTCACTGGTTAGACCCTTTCCAACCTCCATTTTCTCCATCACCTAGTTCAGCAGTTCTGAGAACTTTGCATAGCTAGATGAGGCACAGAGAGAATATCCTCCGTCCAGGGATCTACCTTCCACTTGGGTCATGAAACTCACTGGAGCCCAGTGTACTGAAGATGAGAGGGGTGGTATTATTTCTTGTCGCATTAAGTGTATCTCTAGCTTTGAGGGATCTTGGTGCTGAGGAAGGTGTCCCTTACCTGTTTCTGTATCCTTGTGCTGGCCAGCTCTGGCCGAGGTCTGCTCGGGCCCCTGGTAAAGGACTGAAAGGCCCAGGGATTGGCTCGTTCTCTCAGATTTCTGCCCCCTTCCCCCTTCCCTCACATTCTCTTCCTGCCTCTTACGCCTCAGAGCCATGATGGGTCAACTCTCTGCAGCCTGCAGCCACAGCCATTTTGTTCGGCTTTTCCAGAAACAACTTCTCCAGGTAATAGCCCCAGCAGGAGATTACAGTGGACAGTAGATATTAAAGGCAGCCAAGTAATGGCTGGCACTTTGGGATGGGGCGGACAGCCAGGCAGGTCCTGGGCTGGAGTTTGGAGTTCTGCTCTTTGTGGGGGGTGGCCAAAATGCAGGCAGCCAGAGAGGAGCCAGAGCCTTCTGTCACATGCCCTGCACGCCCTGCCTTCCTTCAGCCTCTCACTACTTCCTTGCCTTCGATTTGTGCCGTGGTAGAGAGAGTACTGGCGTACGACTCAGGCCTGATTTCACATCCTAGCTCTGGGGAACCTAGGCACGTGTTTCACCTTGCAGTTTTAGCTTCTTCACCTATAAAACAGTATCATCCCTACCTTGAAAAACAGATCTGTGGCACCTGATGACGGGGTCGGCATTCCCTAAATGTTCATTACTTCCACCCTATTTTGTTCAGTCCTTCTTTCTGAACAAACTTACGGGTTTTCTGTTTGTCTCCTCTTTCCGCTGCCCCAGATGTGTCAGAGTCCTGGTGGCGCTGGGGGCACTGTCTTGGGGGAGGCTCCGGATGTGTTAAGTATGCTTGGAGCTGACAAGCTGGGGCGGCTGCGGCGCCTACAAGAAAGGCTCGTGGCCCCTCAGAGCAGCGGGGGCCCCTGCCCACCCCCCACCTTCCCAGGCTGTCAGGGCTTCTTCAGGGACTTCATCCTGAGCGCCAGCAGGTAAAGGTCCCCTGTGTCTTGCAGGGAGTGGGGCTGGGGCCAGGAGAGGTTTGTCTTTCCAGAAGGACAACAGTTGTTTCTCCTGTCCTGGAATATAACAGGGTGGGATTGGGCCATGGCCAGGCTCCTTCCAGCTCACACTTCTGCCTCCGTTTCCCTTCTCGTTCTTTTACCCACGTAGGTAACCTCACTGCTCCTTTGCCTCCCTCTCTACCCCACTGTGCCTTTCTGTCTGCAGCACCTCTTCTCTATTCTGGGTCTTTCTACACCTCTGCCAGTGTCTTTTTTTTTTTTTTTTTTTTTGTCTCCTTCCTAGCTTCCAGTTTAATCAGCATCTCATGGACAGTCTGAGTTTGAAGATCCGGGAGCTCAACAGCCTTGCCCTGCCCCAGCCTGAGCCTAGCGACGAAGACGGGGAGTCGGACGTGGACTGGCAGGTTAGAAAGCGGAATGAGGCAGAGTACAGGGTTCTGACCTAGGAGGGAGGGGCTGTTTTCAAGAACTTTGTAACAGATTCAGAATTATTCTAGAAGCCCTATGCTTAGGACCTTTTCCTTCCCTGATCCCTTGCAGGGTGAACGGAGGCAGTTTGCCATGGTGCTGCTCAGCCTGAGGCTTCTGGCTAAATTCCTGGGCTTTGTGGCTTTCCTGCCATACCGGGGGCCCGAGCCACCCCCCACCCGTGAGCTCCAGGACTCCATTCTGGCCCTGAGGAGCCAGGTGAATGGGGGCTCTGGTAAGGAGGGCTGGGAGGGGCCCCAGAGCCCTGGAGTTGGAGGGTATGTCCGGCCCCCGGCCTTGCCCCCTGACCAAGCCCTGCCCCGCCAGGTGCCCCCCGCCCTGGACGTGCGGGCTCTGCTGCAGCAGGGGCTGCGGGCCCGCCGAGCCGTGCTCACCGTGCCCTGGCTGGTGGAGTTCCTTTCCCTCGCCGACCACATCGTGCCCCTGCTGGACTATTACCGCAGCATCTTCACCGTCCTGCTGCACCTACACCGGTGAGTGCGGCAAGGGCGGGGCTGGAGCCGGGGAGCGGGAGGGCTGCTGAGGCTGCTGTCAGTGAGGAGGGCTGGGGGCCCGTGCCTCCTGGGCCGAGGCTGACCCCCAGCGGGGACGCAGGATGGGGTCCTTGCACTTTGGCCCTTTTTTATTCCTCCTGTGGCCCAGCTGAGAGGGAGTACAGATCTGGGAAAGGGCGGTGAGGAGATCCTGCTCGCCTGCACGACAGCCGTCCCCTTTTGGTCTGCTTTTGAGAATTACTTTCCCAGTGATAGCTTTCTTTCACTCCATTCCATTTCTTTCTTGGCACAAATGTACCTGTCAGGAGCTTGGTCTTGTCAAAGGAAAGCGAAGGGGAGATGTGTTTCCTGAACAAGTTGCTGCTGCTTGCTGTCTTGGGCTGGCTTTTCCAGGTTGGTAGAGGGAGGGAAGATCCAGACTGGGGAGGAGAGGCAGCCACTGTGGTGGAGGTGGGGAGTGGGGGGAGGTCTGAGTCTGAACGAGGTCAGGGCCAGAAGATGGAGGTTTAGAGCGGGCGTGGGAATCCCCATGGTGTTGCTTTGCTCCTGGAACCACAGGGTCTGTGCGTTGCATGTCTGTAGTGCTGACTGGCGCTCACGCTGCCCTGGTCTTTTGTCAGATTCCCACGGTCCCTGAGGACCTGTTCTTTCTGGAAGAGGGTCAGTGGGATGCCTTGGAGGTGGATACAGTAGCTTCAGAGCGTGGGCTGGTAAGTGTTGGGGTCCGGCCAGAGCCATGGGGGTGGCAGGAACAAAGGAGGCAGGCAGGCTGGGAGTTAGACTGTCTTCCCTGTCCCATTTCTGGCACAGTGGGAAGGAAGAGAAACCTGCCTACTTAGCTCTGCTCTCTTCTCTCCCGCAGGATGGCATGCCTGTGGTGGACCAGCACCTGCTCTACACCTGCTGCCCCTATATTGGTGAGGACACTGGTCCTCCGCCGCCCAGGGTCCTCGGTCTGCCCCTTGATGAGTACCCAGCAGGCATCCCGTAGGCCCGACACCCTAATACGCTCTTCTCTTCTTAGGCGTTCCCCGGGTGCTTCAGCATCTTTACTCCACAAATACTTAAAGTCCAAGAGGCCTGGGAGGGTAGGGGTGGCTCTGGAGCTAAGTAGTTGGGCTTCCCTGCTGCAGGAGAGCTCCGGAAGCTGCTGGCGTCATGGGTGTCGGGCAGCAGTGGGCGGAGTGGGGGCTTTGTGAGGAAGATCACTCCCACCACCACCACCACTGGCCTTGGAGCCCAGCCTCCCCGGACTGCCCAGGGGCTGCAGGTAAGGGGCCGGTGGAGGCAGGGGGCGCCCGGCAGGGAAGAGAAAGGGAACTCTTCACACACTGTTGCCCGCCTCCCCCGCCCCGACAGGCACAGCTGGCCCAAGCCTTTTTCCACAACCAGCCGCCTTCCCTGCGCAGGACTGTGGAGTTTGTGGCGGAGAGAATTGGCTCTAACTGCGTCAAACACATCAAGTGAGCGTGGGTTCAGAGGGTCGGGAAGGCAGATGTGGAGGGTGCCAGGCCCCGTTCCCTTATATTTTCCCCCTTGAAATCTCCTAACGTGGTGTTGCCAGGCTGAGGCAAGTTAGCTTGAGGGGAAGGATGTGGTGGGGAGGCTCAAACTGCTAAAGTTCTTTGAAGTTAGTTCTGACCAGATTTGTAGCCCCTTTCGGATTCAGCCCCCTCAGTTACCTCCAAGCCTTTCTGTCCCTGCTACAGGGCCACACTGGTGGCAGATCTGGTGCGCCAGGCAGAGTCGCTTCTTCAAGAGCAACTGGTGACACAGGGACAGGACGGGGGAGATCCAGCCCAGCTGTTGGAGATCTTGTGTTCCCAGCTGTGCCCCCATGGGGCCCAGGCATTGACCCGGGGGCGGGAGTAAGAGACCCTCGTCCCCACTCTCAGCTTTTCTTTTTCTGATTTTTTCACACTCCTCTCCTTTATTCCATGTGCTCGCCAAACCCCTCTTGTTCTTTTGCTTCCTCTGTAGGCTCATATCTTGGGCTTTCGGTCCCAAAGTCCGAAGTTGAATTGGAAGAGTGGGGGGTTGGGGGTCCCATTCCTCCCAGCATCGGGGATCAGGGGTGGGCCCAGGGCTGACAGTGCTTCTCTTCCTCCCCCCCACCCCCCCAACACCTCCCCAGGGCAGAGCCCTCCTAGCTCAGGTGATGGGTACGCTTGGCCTTTCCTTCTGTGAGCCAGGCTGAAATCTCTAGCCATCACTGACAGCCTCTGTCTCCTTTCAGGTTCTGTCAGAAGAAGAGCCCTGGGGCCGTACGGGCGCTGCTTCCCGAGGAGACCCCGGCAGCTGTAAGTAGGGAGGAGGCCAAGAGCCTGCAGACTAGTGTCTGGTGTGAGAGAGGTGCGCCGTGGGCCGTACGTGCGCGAGGGTGTGCGTGAGGCTGCTGGTGACAGGCAGGCCCATGGCTTGGTCCCGGCATTGGGTGCGCCTCACATGTTCATGTCATCCCCAAGCCTCCCCGGGCCCCTGACACTGCAGTTCTTCTGGGTCACAGGTTCTAAGCAGCGCAGAGAACATTGCTGTGGGGCTTGCAACAGAGAAAGCCTGTGCTTGGTTGTCAGCCAACATCACAGGTAAGGTTCGGGCCCCGGGGAGGGCTGGCCGGGTTGTTCCAAGGTGGACTGGCAGAAAGTGCGAGGCCCTTGGGGTAGATGGAACACCAGGCAGCTGGAAAGGGTGCAGGGCATGGGTTGATGTGGTGTGACCCCTTTTCTGTTCTCCCTTTGACCTGCAGCGCTGATCAGGAGAGAGGTGAAGGCGGCAGTGAGTCGCACACTTCGAGCCCAGGGTCCCGAAGCAGCTGCCCGGGGGGAGCGGAGGGGCTGCTCCCGAGCCTGTGAGCACCATGCTCCCCTCCCCTCCCACCTCATCTCCGAGATCAAAGTACACAGCTCCCCTCCTCCCTGCGCCCCTCCCCTCTGCCCTCTCCCTGCTCTTTTCCTGGTCTCCCTCCTTCCTTGCGTCCGCCGCAGTGTTTCATGTAGCCGCTTTCTGTGTTGTGCAGCTAGTCCGGTGTCCGTCATGACTGAATGGGGTTCGGTGGGGCAGAGCTGAACTGAATGGTTTTCCTCATTGCTCTTCTCGGACTTCTGGTACCTGAGTCACCCAAAAGGGGAAGAGGGCAGATGGGCAAGTTTGGGAGGGGCTGCATATTGGCGACGGGAGCCTGGTCACGAGGGGCTGTCTGGTGTTAACAGGTAGGAAAGTCTCTAAGCAGTCACCTGCTTTTGGGATCGGATTTCAGAAACGTTCTCCTCTGGGAGGTGATGCTTATTTAGTTACAGACGGTAAGAATAAACTACCATTGCTCTTGATCTGAAAAATTGAGAGCCTGTCTAGAGTAGGGGTCAGCAAACAGCCCAGGGGCCCAGTGCAGCCTGCCGCTGGTTAGTGTAGAGCCACACGCCACACTTGTTCACTTCTGAACCGTCTAGGGCCTTCCTGTGCTGCAGCAGCGGAGTGGAGTAGTTGGGGCAGAGACGTCATGGCCTGCAGAGCCTCAACTCTTTGCTGCTGGGTGGGGCTAAAGATTAGGACTAGGGCTAAGGAGGAATGACTGAAGAGGGAGAGTATCCACGAGGGAGAAGAGAAGGCTAAGTGGCCAGTAGCTACTGGTTTTCCCTGCTGAAGCCGGACTCTCCCAAGAAGATGAACAGAGAAGCGCGCGCGAGAGAAAATCTACCGTGTATGGAGCAGGACGGCTCCCCTAAGTGTTTTCAGAGTAAGGCGCTGTCTGGGAATTGGCTAGGATCGCCTTTGTCCCAGGACGAGGGACATCTTGAGCTCTCAGGCAGCATGTTGTTCCTCAGCTGGCGTCCACATGGTTGCTTCTCCCAGCTGTGCGGTCTGCCCGAGCCCCAGGTCTAAGGCACCTTGAACCCGCCACTTCATCCAGGGGCCCTGTCTTCCTTTTCCTTCTGCCTCTTTCCACTGGCTGATCCCTGCCCCAGGCCACGTTCTCTGTGGCCTCCTAGGTGCCAGCCAGGTATGCAGTCTCACTCTGCTTCCACCCCTACTGCCTCCAGGATGTGCTGTCTTTGGCTGTGGGCCCCCGGGACCCCGAGGAGGGAGTCTCTCCGGACCATCTGGAGCAGCTCCTGGGCCAGCTGGGCCAGACACTGCAGTGCCGCCAGGTGAGCCGCAGTGGGATGCTCCGCTGGGGGTCCTTTTCCGGTGCCCACGAACTGGAGCTGCAGCGGCTCGGGGCCACTGCTCTAAGGACGGTACTGATGCCCAGGGTCCCCCTGTCTCTTCCCCACAGTTCCTGTGCCCACCTGCGGAGCAGCATCTGGCGAAATGCTCTGTGGACTTAGCATCCCTCCTTGGTATGGCTCCTTTTCATGACATCACGCTCTTGCCAGATCCCCCAGATCGCAGGGCCGGGTACAAGCAAGATTTGATACACAGAGCTTTGTTCCCTTTTTCCTCCCAGGGGCCAGCTAGGGGACCCTACCTCTGTCTCTTAAAGCTGGGCTTTCTTCTCTTCCCATAGTGGCAGACCACATCCCTGTCCTTGGGCCCCCGGCCCCACGCAGGCTAGAGAGGGGGCAGGCTCGAAGGCTCCTGCACGTGCTGCTCTCCTTGTGGAAGGACGACTTTCGGGTGCCGGTTCCGCTGCAGCTGCTGCTGAGCCCAAGGAACGTGGGGCTTCTGGCGGACACTCGGCCAAGAGAGGTGAGCCGGGGGCAGTCAGGCTCCTTAGCCTCCGCAGTCCTGTGCTTATCCCACCGCCATGGGCGGGGTTCCTTTACTCCCCCTTTCTGGCAGCCATGCTCAGTTTCTTTTGACACGCTAGCGGGGCTCCAGGCAGCCTCTGCGGCAGTTTGCTGTCCTTTGGATCAGCCAGGGTCGCTGTACGGTCCTAGCCACCCTGACCACCTCCGTGTGTGTTGCAGTGGGACCTGCTGCTCTTCTTGCTCCGGGAGCTGGTAGAGAAAGGTCTCATGGGACGGACAGAGATAGAGGCCTGCCTGGGTAGCCTCCGTGACGCCCAGTGGCCAAAGGTAAGGAGTCCTCATATTCTCATACCTAGCTGGAGAACAGGAGTCCTATGCCCTTTTATCCTGAAATGAGGCAAGTGATGGGGCCCAGGCATTCTTAGGATCTTCCCAAATCCGAGTGGATTTTGTCAGGTATCTTCAGGACCGCCCTGAAATGGCATGGCTGTTCTGGAGGGCGTTTTTCACATTTGAGTGGGTGTTGTATGAAAGACTGTGTCCGTGGAGGGAGGGAGGAGGGAAGAGGGAAGGCAGGTAGTTAGTTGGAAAGCAGCGTGGCACAGTGAGTAGGAGTTTTTAAAATCAGAATAACCTAGATTTTAATCTCAGCTGGTACTTAAAGTTATTGTGATCTAGGGCAGAATGATTTATACCTCCTACGGTTTGTCAAGACGAAACATGGTGGTGGTGAAGTAGTCACTCCATGGTTGAGTCTGCTCTCAGATTTCACTCTCCCTGCTGGAACTTGAGCATCCCAGAGTACTCATGGGAAAAGGGGTCACATCCATTTCAGTGTAGAAGGCAGGTGGGAAAAAATAAGGTTGTCTGCTCACTGGTTAGCTAGGGCTTGATACTGGGGATTGACTTTTAATAGAAAGGATGTACCATCCAGAATTATGTATCAGTCAGTGTTGTCTGTCATCCTTCTGCTTATTCCAGGACTTCTCCGAAGAATTAGCGACACTGTTCCACCTGTTTCTAGCTGAGCCCCACATGCCAGAACTCCAGCTAAGAGCTTGTGAGCTGGTGCAAACAAATCGGGGAACTGTGCTGGCCCAGAGCTAGGGCTGGGGAGCAGCCGTGTCTTGGGTGTCTGACCGAACCCCGGCTGACTATGCCTCAGGAGGAGGCCCCCACGCCCCGCTCTGAGTGCTCACTGCTGACCCTTGCTGAGGAAGGAGTAGCTAAGTCTGTAGTCAGGCCTCCTGCTCATGTGTGAAGGAAGTGTGGGGCTGCCTGGCATCCCGACTGCAGGCTCACCACCCGAGTCCTACAGGGAGGAGAGTTCACCTGATTCAGGATTATGATGGCAAAGCCTAGAGAGAGACTCCAGTCCTGGAGCAGAAGAGTTGGCATTTATTACTTGGATTATTAAATGACATGTGTGGGCTTGACGACACAGGACTTGAGCCCCATTTGCTGCTACCCCACTGTCCCTTAAAACTTTGTGGTTTGGAAATCATGACAGAGGCAAATGACTTCTGCTTAACTTGTGGGTAAAGTTAACACATGAATCTTGGGAGTCGACATTTTCTTACCACCAGGAGCTGGACCGCCTGCCATCTCCTTAAAAATGCACAGTACGTGAGGTGGGGCTGACCCGCCAGAAACCCAGCTTTGACCCTGCACCTTCTCTGCCTTCAGCCCTGTACAGGTACTAACTCTCAGCCGTAGCTCCATCCAGGGGCCAAGCACAGGGCAGAACATTAGAGCTTTTTAAAATAAACTCTTTTCTTTATCAAGGGCTTCCTGTCTAGTTATTTTCACCTGACCCTTTCCTTTAGCAGGCTGCAAAGTCCCAGGTGCGCTTGAAGGTGGGCACTGACAGGGTAGAGCTCTACTAATGGCCTGGCCACTTAGCAATGCCTAAATGTTCCCTCATGTCAGAGCCTGGGGCCCTGCTAACTCCTTGCCAATAGTAGTGACTTCTGTACAACTCCAAGGTTAAGTTAATATGCAAAGTCTCCACTCACCAGCTACTCTCTAACAAACTAGATGGCAGGGCAGCCCTTGTTAGGCTTGTTTCGTTAGGGCTGGGGGTATGTGGTTTGGCTCAGAAGTATTCTGTGTGTCTCTAACTGATCCATTGATTTTTGACTAAAAAGCACTACCTTGATAATGTGCATGCAGTTCGCTCCTGTAAAATTCATGGTCTTTCTGCATCAGCAGCTCAGAGAGGTTCAGGCTGTGCTGGAAGAAGGAGACGGTACTCCGGGAACCCTCTGGAAATGTCTTGCAAAACTCCTGTCTGTTCTCCATGTGTACTTCCTGGGGGAAAAGTGCACAGCTGTCAAAAGAGGCCGACCCAAGGAAGCGTCAGGTTCTCTGGGCCAAGGGGGCCTGCTGCGGTACCTTAGGAAAGCTGGGGGGCAGTCCTTCCTGGTGGCCAGCAGCACAGAAGGATCCCTCCATCACCACCTGGTCCCGGCGCCTTCCCTCCCACCTCTCCTCCCAGTTGCTCCTTTCACAGGTTTTGGCAACTGAACCTTCCTTCCACCATCGCTTCATTTTCAAAGGACTATCTTTGTCCTTTAAATCCATTTGATACTGTAGCAAATTCAGAAGTGCTGAATGCCTGGGAACCAAAATCGTTTTAAGGAGGGTTTTATCTTTGTGTGCCCACTAGGTGTGGCTGAATGCAAGCACCACCCTGGGAAGCTGAGCCCCGAGGTAAGCACCGGCCACTGTAGCTGGGCAGCTCCCCACGGATTCGGGACAGGTGGGCAGGGCCGGAGGCAAGCCCGAAGCCCCATGGATGCTGGGTTCAAGCCCACTCAGTTCAGTGTAGCACGGGCCCAATTTGGGAAACTCACCAGGGGCCTGTGTGAATCTTAAAGGCAGTAAGAGAAACTTAGGAAGCACAGGCAGCTAATGAACTAGTGAACGAAACAGGTCCCTTTCTGTGTATCTGCTCTCTCTACGAATTGTCTAAAACAGTGGTCTTCAAAGTGTGGTCCCCAGACCAGCAGCCTCAGAATCACCTAGGACTTCCTAGAAATACACGTACGTTGGCCCCTCTCCAGATCCAGTCAGTCAGAAACTCTGGGGTATAACAAGTTCTCCAGGTGACTCTGATGAAGTCTGAGCACCACCCATCGAAACCAAAATTTGACTTCCTCATGATCATTTAGAGCTGGGTCCCTGGACTTTTTTGAATACAATATTCCTTAGATTGCTGACTCAGGCCAGGTGTGTGGCTCTCACAGTAAGGGGATAGGGTCGCCTCTGGGCAACCCATATGTTCAGATTCCCAATGGCGGCTCTGCCCAGAAGCCCAGAGGTGCTCACCTGTTAAAGAGCTTCCTTCCAGGGGGTTGTGGTCGCCAATGCAGGGCAGTGCCTGCTCTGGTATCCTCTCTCACGTGCATATCTGGGCTCCAGCAGGCTCCAGTTGGCCAACTGCTCGGGTTACTGTTCACAAGCAAAGTCCTGCTGAGCTCATGGCAAGAACTCAGTATATTAGTGTGAACCATATAGCTTGAAACAGGGCCATGAGCAGTTGTTGCCATCATCATCTCGTTGCCATCATCATACCGAGGCTAAATTCTGAGCTCAAATGATACAGTAGTCTTCACTAAATGAAAGGACACCACGGACTTCTAATTTGCAAGTGTTCTGACTTTTTCAATCAATAGTCTTAAGAGATTTATGTGAAAAGAGATGCGAGTACATAAATAGGGTGTTAAATATACCAAAAACATTAACCAGAAAAATACATTTAAAGGCAATTTAAAAAGCCTTCAATCAATCTTACATAAGTAACAATCTGAGGTAAAAGAAAAAAAATCCTGCAAACACTTCTAAAGAAATCTGTGCTGTACCATACAGAAACGGACCTTTTCACCACATCTTTTCAAACCCCATATGGTCACCCTCTTCCACCAAAGATTGTAGGCACCAGAATGGAAGCTGGGACTCTCTCCCACCCCAACCACTTCCACATAACCATACAGAATACTCAAAGCTCAAGTTCAGCCAGGCTGAGGTACAAGAAAACCAAGCCCATTCCCCACCCCCTCCTAGAATAGCGATCCTACCCCAGCAGCATGGATGCTCAAGAGACCACTGAAGGCTGGCGCCAAGGCTCTGAGGGAGGTGAGGAACGGAACTGAGTTTCCTCCTAACAAATCACATACTTCCTCTAGGAGTTCTAGTATCTTCTCTCCAGTCTTTGAAAAGCAACTTTTCAGCTTTTTGAAATTCCTCTTGCCCTGTCAGCAGCCAGCATCTTGCTGCCCACCCCCACCCCTCCTCAAAGAGCTAGATTCCCCTCCTTGACCCCAAATCTGTCCAACCTGCTTCTACCGTGGTCTTCCCATTCTGAGCTCTGGAGTGACAGCTCCAAGACTGAGCATTGCTCAATACTCTGAAGGAGGCAAAGACCCAACTGTCCTCTCCTGTGAGGGAAAGGAAGGGGTGGGGGAAGCAAAAATTAATAATAAAGCATTTTGTAAAAAACCCAAGGAGAAACGATTCTGAACATTGTTGTGGTTTGTGCAGCTGTTTTTTTAAACCATTTTTCTGGTTTGCTATTTTCCAATACTCCATTCCACAGTGGAGCTGAACGCTGGAGGCAGATTCCGAGGAGTCCTGGCCAATGGCTGCTTGCTTCCCTCCCTGCGCAAGGGCTGGGCCGGCAGAGCAAGGAAGCTTGGTGCCAGAGTCCCGCCTTCTCCCAGTTCGCTTATCCTGGTCTTCGAGCAGCTTGTCTGCCACAGGGTCCCAGGGACAGGAAAGAAAGGTGAGAAGTCCAAAACGGTGAGTTGAGCTTCTTTCACTCTGGCCAGCCAGGGCCAGGAGCTCAGGTCCCCTCACTCTGCAGAGGCGCCAGCTGTGACCCAAGTACTGATGGGGCTTTGCCGGCAGCTCGGTCTGAGTGCTGTCTGCCTGGTTAGCCACAGCCGGCAGCCTGGCCTCTCCTTGCATCGTGGCACAGTGACGAGAGCCACCCTCGCATCACTGGCGCGTCCTGGGCCTGCGTCTCTGCAGCATCATCTTGACGGGAAGATGCTAACTACCAAGGAAGGAAGCCAGTCTGGCTATCACCAGCGGCTGCTGTTTGATGAACGAGCTTAGGAGCTGAGGGGGGAGGCCTGGCGCGCCAAGTTCCACCTGAAATTAAGCAGAGAGGGAAGAGCTGAAGGTGTGAACGGACGTGGGAGAATGTGCCAGGCACCCGACAGGCACGAGGAGCCACCCAAGCTGTCGTGATGGGAAGAGCTCCTCCAACTGTCTGCGCTTCCAGAGTTTACAGGCCTCTGGGCTCTGCTGTTCAGATCTTGGCACGGGCTTCCCCTCCCGCTGATGAAGGTCACGGTGGGGAGCTGGGAGCAGAGAGGAAACAGACCGGGTCGTGCTCGCTCTGCTCTGCGGAGGCTGCGGCTCCTCCCTTGTCATGACTCCTCTATCTCCGGAGGACGCTGGCGACAGAGAGGCTAAAGGCCGCTGCGTGCTTCGGTGACTGAGCAACTCTGTCCCCCTCCTGCCTCAGTTCCCCACTGACCGCCCCCTTACTGTGACTCAAGAAGCCCGAGTCTCCGGCTCTTGGGACACAGGGCCTGGGCACTGAAGGGTGTCGAGCAGCTCAAGAGAAAACTCCCATGGGGTGCCGGGGCCAAACTAAGGCATTCCATGCCGCCAGCCACACAGGGAGGATCACCTGGGCCAAGTAGATGACTCTGGTGATCTCCTTTCCTTCCATGGTGTCGGGCTGTAGGACCCAGGCACTGGGCAGGATCTCGCCTCGGACCATCTCCCTGCTAGGTCTCGGCATGGATGTGTCATAAACAGACTGAGCTGCCATGACAGACAGATGCCCCTGGGGACAGAGAGTGGTGGCGGTCAGACAGGGACAGGCTCCAGTGCAGCCAGCCTCTAAGCCATCCTCACGCCCGCCCAAACCTCCTTTGCCCAGAGGACCTGATGCCCACGATGACTGCCTCTCCCAGCACTCCAGCCCAAGGTCTGCCCACAGTGTCTTTACCACCAGCAAGACAGGCACCTCTTTGGCTTCCACGCAGACGCAGCAGAAATCCCGCGGCTGCTTCAGGGCACACAGGGTGGTATTGCACACCAAGTATACTGGAGGGTCAGGAATGGGGAGAGTCAGGAGGTGTGTGGACGGACTTCCCAGCCCAGAAGCACCCCCAATATCCCACCATTCTGCAACCTGACAGGCAGACCTAGCCTGAGTGATCCGGAGGTTGTCGGAGTATCTGGCCTCCCAAGAGGGCTGCCTCCAACCCTGCTCCCTCTGTCCCGTGGCCACGGCCCATGGGAAGCCTTCCCTGGGCTCACCCAGGTTGATGCTGTTGGTCACTCGATGATGCAGCCTTGCTGTCTGGATGGGCTTGTGGTACAGCGGCCACAGGGTGGGGTCACTCACAGCTGCCCATACGTGCGACAGTGGCTGGGACACCAGGCTTGCCCCCAGGAAGCCATGCCGAGTAGAAGAAAACATCTTGTAGTAAAGCTGGACTTCCTGCTCCTCACCCTGATAGCTGGGGAACACCGAGGGTGGGGAAGAGGAAGAAGAGGTAAAAACTGGGCTCCAGGCTCAGAGAGTCGCAGCTCGGCGTGAGGGACTCAAGGAAGCCAGGGCAGAGAAGGGAAAGGAGAGAGGACAAACAGGACAGACAGCCGGCCAGGACAAGACGCTGGGCAAAGGCACTCACTTCCAGCCAGCTGCTGCCTGGTGGCTGAAGAGGTTGTGCAGATCATCGGAGCAAGCAGCCATTACCTGGAGACAGAGGGGTCACACCCACATTAGTGGGCACAGTACAACCCAGACCCTTGGATTAGCCATTCGCTCTGGCCAGCATGCACTGAATTCCCCTTCTGTCAACATGGAGAGCCGCTAGCAGCCTTGCTGGCCCTCATGTGCCCTGCTCGTTCCCTCATTTCCGCTCCTCCCCACCCAGCACAGGTCTGATAAAGGAACCATGGGGACAAGGGGAACAGTTCCTCACATCAGCAACAGAGAGGTCTACGATGTGCTTGGCCAAGTCCTGATAGGAGGAGGAGGAGCAGATCCCCAGGCTGGAGAGGCTGGACGGAGAAGTGCAGCAGCTGCCCAGGGAGGTTCTGTGGCCTACAATGAACGGGCAGAGGCCATGAGACAGCATGAGCATCAAGGCCTCAGGGCAGCAACAGCCTCCTGAGGGACAGTGACTTGGGGCTGGTAACTTCAGGCTAGTGACTCCCTAGGATCTAGCAGACCTCAGCCCCTGAAGTCCCCAAACCAGGCAGGTAGCTATGTGCCCTCACCCCGCTCCACTCACTGTAAGCTAAGCTCTTCCAGGTGGACCCGGCCAGACTCAGGTGACTGTTCCTCACTGTGGAACTGCCCCGAACATCCCCTATCCAGGAGTCACTGGAATCAGGCAAGTTTATGTCCCCCTGCAGAAAAGAAGATGCTCAGGATCAGATCAAAGGCAGATAAAGAGAAAAGCAGAGCACCAGAAAGCCCATGCAGAATTATCTCCTCTGCCTCTGAACTGTGCCAACAGTTTCCAACATAAAGGCTCAATCAAAAAGATCTTCCCCACCGGGATTACAGAAGGCTGGATGCCCCCAAGAAGTCAAGAGCAACAGAAACCAGTCCCTGGACAATCTCTCCTTATGCTTTAAGCCACAGGCTCAAAGACAGCTTGTAGGAGAGCTCCCAAAAGGGATCAGAACAAACAGAGCCTCAGAAGTCCCAGCACAGAGCATCAGTGGGTATGGGCTGGGGCGGGGGGGGGGGGGGGGGGGGGAGGCTCTCTACCACTGTGGCAACAGGAATGAGGCCATGGCTAGAGCTGGGATTTGTGGGATAGCAAACAAAGCCCAAGTGGAAAGCGGGGGTGGGGGGTGGGGAGAGAGCAATGGGCTGTGAGAAGCTTGACCCTTGGGCCTGACCTCCCAGAACCTCTACACCCGCCCCACCCCGCCATGCCCCATACAGCAGCTAAGCCAAAGGTCCTAATTTGGAACCAGATGGGGATGACCCTCTGGATCTGCAATATGTTTCTCCCACCTTTACCTCAGCCAGCAACTCAAGGACATGACCTTGACTCCTGCTTAACCTAACAGGTACCATCCATCCCACCTCTATCATCAGTTTTTAACCTACTGCTACTCTAGACAAGAAGAGGTGAACACAGACAGTTCTGCCTCCATCCTTGCCTCCATTCCTCCTGCTGCAACATTACAAGTGGTCTCTCCTACTTTAGGCAGGTCCCTCTGTCTCAGACTGAGGTCTTGTGCCCTCTTCTTGGGAACTTTCCACTGCTGATCATCTCCTTCACCTGTTGCCTCTGCCTCACCCTCTTCACTGGATGCTTCCTATGAGCACTGAAGCATGCAAAAACCTCTCCCACCTTTAAAAACCTTCCTCAAAGGGGTCTTTGCTCTTCCACCCACAGATATGCTTCTTGAAAGAACTGTCACCATTTGCCATCTCCCACCTTTCACTCCCTTCTGAACCCACTTGAACCTAGCATCTGCCTCACCACTCCGCCAAAGAGCAATCACC